TACCAGTACCGGCAAAAAAGATACGCGTAGACGAGAAGCCCTTTCGAAAGAAGACGAGTTTTCCTACTCCGTGGACGAGTCAGCATGATGTCCTGTTCTGGTTGCTCGTAGGCAAGTGACACAGCCGGTGGCATTTCAGACGCCAGATCGATGGAGAGAATCTAGGATGTAAGGGAATTAAGGAAACTAGCTACTTACTTTCTAGGGTAAATACTTCAATATGACGGCTAATAGTAGCCTGTAAGGAACGCACGTTCCCTTCTCTTGTTTTCTTGACATTAAAGTCTTGTCCACTGCGGATGCTGGGGCGTGTCAGGTAGGGACGGGTCACGATGCGGCGCCTACTCTTTCAATTGCTGAAGTATGCAAGCGACTACAATTGGTGGAAAATGGGTTGATGCAGCGTCACGCCCATCTCCCTCTGTACACGCTCCAGCATCCGCAGCGAACAAGAGTATAATGGCACCTATTTCACTCTGCCTGAAAACACGGCGCGTTACTGCAAATCGGGGTAGTAGAGTTCATAAACAAAAGGGTATGCAGTAGGGGAAATGTCAGCGAAGTGAAAAGCAAAAAAAATTTGTGTAAAGTGCCCTCAACAAGACTTCTAATTGGTTCCAGCACATATCGAATATGCGTCGAAGAGATTCTGAGCGTGCAAAAGAGAAACAGACGGGGAATGACTAAAGAGTACGCAGACGAGCGAGACCGCACTCATGCCGCGACTGTGAGAAGAAATGAAAGAACGGATCTGAATCCTGAGGGTGGAGCCTGACTCCCGGCGGCTTTGCTACTCATGTGCGAGCCATTAAAGTGGTACAGTTTTGTTCGCTGCAGATGCTGGGGCGTATCAGGGGGCTAGGTTTGGCGTGGCGCCAGCCCGATTTCCATCAGTTGTTGTCGCTTGCTCCCTTCAACAATTGGCGGAGAATAGGCTGGCGTTGCGCCAAACTCACTCCCTCCCCCTGACACGTCCAGACATCCATAGCGAACGAGGCATCGGCGCTGTTTATCGACGGGGGGGCATTCTGCTTTTCATAGATTTGCCAACCCATCTAGGTACCCTTTTTTCGAGTTGACACGTTTTAGGATGGTGGCTAGACGATCTTGCTCCAGCTTCACAAGCGTTCACAAGTTTTACCAGAGATTTGTAAACCGGAACCAGGAGGCAATTATAATACAAAATGCACCCGTCGATAATTAGCGCCCGAGGCATCCTCTTCAAATGGGACTGCCACGTGCTATGGACTGAATTTTAAAACAGCGCTCTAAACGACAAGGCACAGCGATGGCCGCATTTTTCGAAGCTTTCAGCGCAGTCCAGGTTTTCACCTTCCTCCAGTAAAGGCGACCACGGTTCAGTTCACTGATAAACCCTGAGTGTGTACTCCTCATCCCTGAGACGGAGTAGGCATAGCAAATCGGGTTGTATTGATGGGTTACTCTTGTGATACCGATTAACAACTATTTCCGAATTGAAAATATTCTACATTTTCGAAAACGTTGACCCGTCGCCACAATCCAGTACAAAGCACGCAGCCTCCAAATTTCCATGGTCAGAGATTTCTGAGTGTAGCAGCCTCGTAGTGATTCGATAGAATGACCATCTCACCTTCGAGGGCCTTGAGCGACCACGCTCCACGTGGTCGTGATGCGAAATATTAGGTTGGCGGGAAAGTTCTGTCATATATTTTTGAACCCAAAATATTTGCTAATTTTCTGAAAAGCGTTAACCGGTAATATGAGCACTTATACATCAAAGAATGGTCTTTCTATTGGTATCACTGGCTTGACTCCTGCCTCTCCTTATCGTGCAATATGAACAAGAATGTTATCCGCTACCTTTGGCACCGACCCCTCCAAGCGCTTCCTCAAACTCTTTCTTCTACCGCCCTGGCGCCAGCATGACAGCTGTTGATGCCGAAATGATGGAGCTGCATAAGGACGATGTCTACAGTCATCTGACAATCTTCCACGACGCTGGCTCTTCAGAGCGGGAGGCTACGGTGCGAATGGCGAAGTGATGTTTGGGAGTACCTGTGATCTCAGCTTGAGATAGCTGTGGGCCGGGAA